GCACCTGATTGGAGGAGCAGCAACCTCACAAGCCAATCGGAAGCCTTTTAATCACAGCGGGTCTTGAGCATCCGTCCAGTCAGAACTGAAACCAGTCCCGGTGGTCCTTTGAAAATCCGAGTGCATTTCCAATTAAACTGGAAACTCCTGATTTCTGAATTCTCACTTTGATTTTAACTTGAGATTTTGAAGAATGCCATGGGATTTTTTGAGAGCTATCTATGCCGTGCTGTATTCATTTCTTGATTTATATCCTGGCTTTCTGTCCAGTGCGGACCCAAAACGACTTAACTTTGTTCTCCCCTCCTCCACCGTATCCTCACAACAACCCTGCAAAGTAGGTTAGGCTGAGTGTGTATGATGTGCCCGAGGTCACCCAGAGAGTGGTGATTCGAACCAAGTTCTTCCAGATCATAGCCCCACACTTTACCCACTACACCACAGCGGCTCTCTCAGTCAGTTTGTAAGCTGTTGGGGTGGATGTGTCTCCCCCACCCCCCCTTAAACTCCTAAATCTACTTAAGGTAAAGGCTTCCCTTGGTCGAAAGCCAGTTGAATCCGAATCTAGGGTTGCGGTGCTCATCTCCGTTTCCAAGCTGAAGAGCCAGCACTGTCCAAAGACTTCTCCGTGGTCATGTGGCCGGCATGACTAAATGCTGAGGTGCACGGAACGCTGTTACCTTCCCACAAAAGCGGTACCTATTTATCTAATCATAATTTCTCGCTTTTGAACTGCTAGGTTGGCAGGAGCTGGGGCCAGAGACGGGAGCTCACTCCGTCAGGCAGCACTCTGGTCTCGAACTGCCGAACTATCGACCTTCCGGTCTGCAGCTCAGCGTCTTATCCCCTGAGCCACCGCAGCCCCTAAACCATTTATTAAAATATTTCTAACCTCCTCCGAGCCTGCAAAGTGGGTCCAGTATCCGGGAAAACATTATTCCAGAGCAGCTGAAATGCCCTCTCCTTCACAGCCTTGCAAACCGAGAGCCTTCCTGGCTTCCTTGATTGTGTCCATCTGTCCTGTGTTGGGTCTTCCTCTTTTTCAGCTGCCGTTCACATTTCCTAGCATGATCGTCTCTTCCAGTCTTTCTCATCTACTCATGATGGGACCAGAGAAAGACAGCTTCTGTGTGATCATTGTTGCTTCTAGGGAAAATTCCGCCTTGATTTGATCTGGTCGTGCCGTCAACTGACTTACAGTGACCTCGTAGGGCAGGGGTGTCCAACGTACAACCAGGGCTCTCATCTGGCCCGTGAGCAACTGGTCATCACCTTTATTGGAGGTTGGGCATTAGGGAGATAACTTAAGGGAATACTGGAAGTGTTTTAATGTTTTAAGCGTGTTTGTATTTTGAGTAAAAAACTAATATTGTTAATTGGGTTTGCCCGTATCCTTTATAAAGTTTATATCTCCCAGACCTGGCATTACGTTTTATGGCACACGTGGCCTGACAAAGTTACGTTTATGTCAGATCTGGCTGTCATAACAAATGAGTTTGACACCTCTGGGTTAGGTGCTCAGTCCTGTGTCCAGAGATGACACTGATGAGGGAGGCCTACACAGCTTCAAGAGGGGACGGGAGAAACATCTGGAGCAGAGGTCCATCAGTGGCTATTAGCTAGCAGATATAGACTGTGGGGCACTGATGCTCTGTATCCTTGATGATTGGGGGGCAACAGTGGGAGGGCTTCTGGAGTTCTGGCCCCACTGGCGGACCTCCTGATGGCACCTGGGTTTTGGCCCCTGTGTGACACAGAGTGTTGGACTGGATGGGCCATTGGCCTGATCCAACACGGGTTCTCTTATGTTCTTAAGAGAAGAGGTCCGTCAGTGGCTATTAGCCAGAAGGTATACATGGAACACTCTGTCTGGGGCAGTGATGCTCTGTCTTCTTGGGGCTTGAGGGGCAACAGTGGGAGGGCTTCTGGAGGTCTGGCCCAGCTGGTGGGCTTCCTGATGGCCCCTGGGTTTTGGCCACTGTGTGACACAGAGTGTTGGACCAGATGGGCCATTGGCCTGATCCAACATGGCTTCTTCTCTTATGTTCTTAAGAGAAGAGGTCCATCAGTGGCTATTAGCCACAAAGAATAGATGGAACACTCTGTCTGGGACAGCGATATTCTGCACTCTTGGGGCTTGAGGGGCAACAGTGGGAGGGCTGCTTGTGTTTTGGCCCCTTTGTAACACAGAGTGTTGGACTGGGTGGGCCATTGGCCTGATCCAACACGGCTTCTCTTGTGTTCTTGTGACCTGGTCTTGTGTTCCCCCCCTCCCCCCAGTCAACACCCATTGCCACGCCGACCACATCACAGGCACCGGGCTTCTGAAGCAGCTCTTACCGGGATGTCGGAGCGTCATCTCCCGGGACAGCGGGGCCTCCGCGGACGTCCTGATCGGGGAAGGGCACACGCTGCGTTTTGGGGCATTCGTAAGTCCATACGTGCCCGGAAGGGCTGTACGTATGTTCAGGAGGAGGAGGCCCTAGAAGAGATGAGGCTACCAGAACTCTAAGTAGGATTCAAAATCTGGCCAAAGCATCCTTGTGTATAATAGCTAAGGGCTGATAAGAAGTCTGTGCGATAGGCTGATCAGTGTTCCCTCTAAGCTGAGTTGGTGTGAGCTAGCTCACAGTTTTTTAGCCTCCAGCTCACGCATTTTTTTCTCAGCTCAGGAAGGAGGGCTCCGGAGCAAACTAATTTATGCAGTAGCCAAGTCGCTCGCTCACAACTTCAATGCCAGCAGCTCACAAAGTAGAATTTCTGCTCACAAGACTCCACAGCTTAGAGAGAGCACTGGTTGGGGTTACAGTTCAGGGTTCGGCAAACCTGGGGAACACCTGCAAAGTTCACGGCTGCTCGCCAGAGGGCAACGGGGCCAGCTTAATGCAAAGCGCCGGGTTGTCTTCTGTGGAGTTCCTTGCAGAGGGCCGCTGTCTGTCTTTCTGTCTTGTCCTGCAGGCCAGCTGGGGTTACCATTCCAGGTTCCGCAAACCCGAGGGAGTCCTGCAGGTGTAACAGTGGAAGGGCGGCACAGTCGGGTTAATACAGTGCGGGTTTTCTGTCTTGCAGGGGGGGAAAGAAAGAACAGGGGGGAAGCCCTGGCCTGGACGGCCCAGGCTAGTCCAGTCCCATCAGATCTCAGAAGCTAAGCAGGGTCAGCCTTGGCTGGGATTTGGAAGGGCAGCCTCCAAGCCAGGGGTCATTTTGTGGAAAAAGAGGTGCAGGAGCTCATTAGCATAACTCATTAGCATAACTTATATGCATATGCCACACCCCCTGACATCACCAGAACTGTGTCGGAAGGCAACACCCACCGCTCAGGCTCCACTGGATTGTTTTGGATTGCTAGCTATTGGGGAGGGGGCGGAAACGTGCAGATCTGCCCTCACAGAGGAGGGAGAGCTTGTACCTGAATAAAACTTGGTCTTAAAGGTGCCACTGGACTGTTTTGGACCAGGGGGCCGGCGGTGGGCGGCTCTGCAATTTACCTGGCTGCTTCTTGCTCTGACTGAGGGCTGCTGGGAGCAGGGGGCGGGGCTTGTTGCATGTGCCCGCCCCCTGGGCTCTTTACTGCCGGAGCTCCGCTCCTGTGCGCTCCTGCAGGAAATGACCCCTGCTCCAAGCAATACCAGGGGCGTGATGCAGACACAGGCAATGGCAAAAACCACCTCTGAAATGTGCCTTGCCTTAAAAACAAGTCTAGCTTGCCACCTAGTGGTGCATGATGCTAAAAGAACGTCAGGCTGCCAGCCAACCTTAGGAGCTCCTGGCCGTACGACACACAATGCCGTATGATAATCATTATTTTCTCGCCAAGCGTCAGGTTTGCTTTCTTTCCATCTTGCCCCACAGGCCTTGGAAGCCCGCTCCACTCCAGGGCACACGGACGGTTGCCTGACCTACGTGCTGAACGACCAGAGCATGGCCTTCACGGGGGACGCCTTGCTGATCCGGGGCTGTGGGCGGACGGACTTCCAGCAGGGTACGGCAGGGCTTGCGGACGGAGAGCGGACTCTGCGGTGCTTTGGAAGAGGGGGAGGGACTATACCAGAGTGGGGATTCTTCCCGTGGCCAGGCGGGTTTGGGGTAGGGGGACTGGCGGCTTCGCTGAGCTATCAAGATTACGGGAAAGAGGGAAGGTTGGCCGCACCCAGAGTGGGGTGCAAAACCACAATCCCATTTCATCCCCATATTGTGAAACGCCCCTCCCTCCTCTTTATTGTCCTTCCTCTACCTGTGCTGGGGAGAAGGCCAATTTAAAGCCTTAAAGAGAGGAAGTGGGGAAGGAATGGGGGGTGCCATTTTGCAAGCAGAGTTTAGCTCCACCCCCTCCCCATAGTCTCCTGCCAACCTAGCAGTTCGAAAGCAAGAAATTGCAAGTAGATAAATAGGTACCGCTTCGGTGGGAAGGTAACAGCGTTCCGTGCACCTTGGTGTTTAGTCATGCCGGCCACATGACCACGGAAACGTCTTCGGACAGCGCTGGCTCTTCGGCTTGGAAACGGAGATGAGCGCCGCAACCCTAGAGTCGGATTCGACTGGCTTTCGAGCAAGGGAACCTTTACCTTTTACCTCCCCATAGTGGCCGTGGGGGGAGCATTCAAGAGGACGCTCCCCCTACCGCCACCACATAGTTCCTTCTTTGAACCAGATCAAAGTAAGCTTATTTTTGATATGGTTTAAAGGGGAGAAAGCTTGCTCTAGACTGCAGTATATATCTGTATGAGCTAGCTAGCTACATGCGGGGAGTTTTGCATGTTCAGAAATGCAGTCTGGAGTGGGTACTGCTCAGGATCCATAGATCCATAGAGTGGGAAGGGACCTCCAGGGTC